TGAATGCAGCAATACAACGTGGGAGCACAATTTGACAGAATTGCAGTCGACACGGCAGGACCATTCCCGGTAATGAACTTCGGTAACCGATACATCTTGATGATCATGGATTACTTTAGCAAGTGTCCCGAAGCATATGCGATACCGAATCAGGAAGCACATATCTGCTGAGAAGCTTGTGAATGACTGGATCAGTCGATATGGAGTACCACTGGAATTGCATTCAAACCAAGACAGGAATTTCGAATCAGCTTTATTCAAGAACATCAGTGAACTAATGGGCATTACTAAAACGAGAACTACGCCCTTACATCCACAGTCTGGTGAAATTGTAGAACAATATATCGCTACTCAGAAGACCAATTTAAGAAACGTCGTCAACGAACACCACACTGTCTATAACAGACATACCATAATTCCTCTTGGCTTATAGATTTATAGATCCGCCATCCATGAGACAACTGGAAGTGCATCAGCCAGCATTTTATTCGGGAAAGAAGTCAGGTTGTCAGGGGACATAATATTTGGTCGTCCTGGAGACTTGCCAGTTCCTACAGACGAATACGTTCGCAAACTACGAAAACGACTAGAAGCCATCCATAATGATGTGCGTACAAAGCTGCGATTTGAAAATAACCGCATGAAAACCAGATACGATCGGCAAGCCAATTCTGGATTTAATAAAGGCGACAAAATACGCCTATATTAATAGAATAAAAATTCGGGCTATAGAGCCGTGGTCTAAGCAAACTATTCTGTCCAAATGTTTCGTCGGCTACTGCGGCTGACATCCTCAGTGGTCGCCCAGTCGCTGTCGAGACTTCGAGATATAGTCTACGTTCACGTTGTCAACGCAGCACTATCACTGCGGATGTCAGCCGCAATAGTAGTCAGAAAGTTCGAGGAGACAGAAACAGCGAAGAAATGATAAAGTATGTAGTAGTGAACTGTTAACTAATTGACAATAGAAATGTTATTTAGACAATAAATTGTTAAAAAAAAAAAATAGTAGTGTGAGAAGGATACGTGACAATATTGTTTCCCCTATTCCTATTTTTGATTACACGACATGACATCTTTAGATGAATGTTTGAAGTTAATCAAAGCTTTCGGTGCCAGCTATCCATTTGATGGGTATTCCGAAGAAGAAGATAAGTTTATTTCGGATATTGATAATTTTGACGCGAATATCTCTACCACTCCGGCCTATAGAAATTTAAAATTTGGACACTTTATAGAAAAATTGACAGGCATAGCAAGATCTGCATATTTTATTGAAAGACCAAGTGATTGGCCTACTCTGAAGAAGCTAATTAACGTCAAATTTGAGTCTCCCGAAAATTCCGAATTGCCTTTTAATCAATTAGTTTCGTGTGTTGGAAAACCTCAGGAAACCCCAGATTTTTATAATAAAATTAAAACTATTCCAACTAAATGAGCAGGAATTTCCGAAGGAAATCAAATTCAAATTAATGAGTTATTAGAAGAAGAAAGCACTCAGTATTTTTAAACTATCTGTGGGGGAGCCTTTTTATTCTGACTTAAAAAATAAGACGACAAATCTCAGGCCCATAATTATTGAAAAGAATTAGACAATGCAAATAAGATATTAGAAATATATTGACAAATGACAGGTCATTCAAAAAAGCCACACTCACACAACATTCCTACACAAAAATAACAACCACAGAGAAATTCACTAACCCTCAAACTTCCCAACAAATTCCTAGATAACAATCTCCTTTATTAAACAGAAATGTTCCTTTTAGATCTTTCATTGTGTCTCTAAACCTCACCCGGTATTTCAACAACTAAACGAAAATACTCATCAAAATAATTTTCAAATACCTTCAAACACAGGCGACGTTTCAATGAAAATTGTCTCTCAATTTAGGCGACCTAGCAATATTCAAAATCAAATACCTTATAGCTTCCAAAATTAATAACGATTTAATTTCCTAATAGAAGAACTAACCAATGTTAAATAAGATTCTTATGTTTATGACGAATACGGAAACGGTAATCTACAATTTTAATTACCCACAGTCAGACGAAAATACCATCGAAGGAAATGAAAATGAAAATGAAAATTTTTGTACACAGGCTTCGAAAGACAAAATTACATAGGCATACAAGAGATTGCATTATCAAAAACACCTAGATTATCCTAAATTTATTGAAATGAATATGAATGCAACATTTTGGTAGATAGCGGAGCTTCCAATTCTATTATGAACTCTTCCTTAGCTTTCAAATATTTTTCTGAATATTTATGCCAAAAGCCTTTCGAAGTTAAATCGGCCGATGGAACAACTAAAGATCAATACAAATTATAAATTCCTTTGATACATGAACTTAATGAACCAATTTATATTGAATTTTCAGATTTTGATTTTCATAGGACTGTTGACGCATTAATTAGTCACGCTGACTTGACTAAAATGAACGCGATAATAAGCTATTCTAACAATACTTTGACTACCGAACCCACACAAATACATTTCCATGAGACTAGAGATAAAATATTTACAAAGATCACCTGCAAGTTCCTGGTTAATTTACATAAAAGAAGTATTATGTTATTCTTGACGGTTTTGCTGACCAGCAATGTCTCAATAGTATTTACATCAATGAATCAATCAATCGTAATATTTACTCATCCACGTTGCTGCTCCAGCTCTATAACTGCCTGTTGCTTTTCGTACAAACTAAGTTTCACTCTTGGAATAAGTAAATAAGTGTTTCCATATTCGTCATAAACGTGTAGATCTTGTTCAACATTGATTAATTTTTCGACTAGGGAATAGGATTTTGTTAATTTAGGAAATTATTAGATATTTATTATTTTTGGAAATTATTGGGTCTTGATTGAACACATGAAACTAATTGATTCATTTCTCATTCGTTTAACAGCTTAGTTTTAAATGTTTTTTCTACCATTATACCACATTTTGCTTCTCTCCTCTTACCTAACTGTAATATCCACTTTACATATTTTTAATAAATACCTTATACTTGTTAATACTCTTTGCAACCCCATCTATCTGTTTCGTAAAATACTACACTTCTAATTACTGCATTGAATAGCATCTGCCAAACTGATATAAAGTGCTTGTATTCTTGTGGTAATGACGTCAATTTTCGACAGAAATGTAGACATGTCTATACCACCTTCGTATATATACTTAAAGAACCGCTGCTGCGCGATATGAATGCTTGTTTCACATTTCTGTTCATATCTGCTGTGCAAATTATATGCAGCTTAACAGCCTCCGACATCCTAGCGACCAACATTGAGCTTTAGCCATCCAACTTTCCAACTTAGGACAGTCATTCTTAACCTCTTGACGAAACCATCGTTTGGAACTTCCAGACATTCCAGTTTTTCAATCCCTCCAATTTGATAACTGCAACCTAATTGTAATTTCCTTGCCTTGTTCATCCACATTAATACTACACCACGTGGATAACTGAGTTCCTTACCACGCTTGGCATAACCTAATGTTAATGTTTATTGAAGGATAGTATGTTTTATATCGAGATTGTATTATTTATTATACTATTCAAACTAATATACACCGTATCAACCCGTTTTCTACTACTATGTTAATGTATGTGTGAATATATGCGTAAAAGAAGAATACAAACCTAAAACCAAACTATTTCTCAATATAAATACCAACTTAATGTATTATGTTGCTTTTTACTTCAACAAACCAAAAACCAAATTTACGACCTAGGAAGTTTAATGAACATAACTAACATTTATATACAGCTGAGCAATAGTTTTAACAGACTACTGTTTCTAGCTGTAACTTATATACCCAATTTTAAATAGACTTCAATATTTGGTCCTCCTGACTAGATATAACACTTTAGGAAAATTATTATAAATCATAAACGAGTAAAAAGTAAACATTTATTCTGTTTATGTGATGAAACCGATAAATAAACTTTCGAACAGTGTCCCAATAGTGATTTTCAGTAAGAATACTAGTTTGTAACAGATATTTCGTTTCTTCCACTTCTTCAATTTTCATGTATGGAAATTTGAGTAAAATTAAGATAAACACAATAAACTTAAAACTGCACCGCTGTCTCGCAAGGTAGGCCTTTCAGTAATGTACCATTTTGTTCAATGGTACAAACAATAAGGTTGATACACTATAATAACAAAATAGTTATCACTACACGAGCATAATTAAAATGAGAATACATAGTTGTAATTATTAATTGGAATTTAACGGCAGTGCAGACTATCTTTTTAATAACTAGTTAGTCTTGACATTGGTAGTACAAATATATGTATGCAGCTCAGTTAAAGAAGCAAGATAATCTCATTTTACGCGAAGATTAGCTCATGACTGGAAGGAGTGGAGGTACGTGTCCAACCATTTTTAGGATTATCAACTTTATGATCAGGATGTGGATGATGATAATGAACCAAACATATAAACAAGAAACCGTTTTCAATACATCCAATATTTGTTGGAATTAAATGTCATACAGGTGAACAACAGACTAAGGTAAACTCATGCCTAATTACGGAACTAAAATTTGAACCACTTCAATTGTGGTCATTACCAACGCGAGATTGCCTCTAACTTGGCAATTTTGATTAGATGTATACTTCATCGAAAATAGTCTGTACAGTAATCATTCTTAACTTTAGTAAGTAAGAGAAGTGGTTGTAAGGGAAAAACATGGTAGAACCAAAACTATTTTTTTAGCTTAGTTTTATTCAAAGGGAATGGTTACAGAGAGATTAAAATTCTTAAAAGCACTACCACATCATAAACCGTTTTTTAAAATAGAATAGGAGTTATATTGATTTGACATTACTCAAACGTAAGAACGAAAGAAACTCTTCAGCGTAAGCAAAAGTTCTTTACGAATTTGCTCAAGATTTATCGTGAATTGGACAAATGCCACGTCTAGCTTTTATACTCTCTGATTTAATGGTAAGCAACATTTAAAATTGTAATAAAGTGGACACTTACATCGACTTCAACGCCCTCGACTTTGAAGCTGTGAGCAGGAGGGCGCGTTTTACGGACGAACCGGTAGAACTCTTCATGATCCTTATACCACTTAACGGAATAGAGAGTGTCATTGCCTAAGTCATAATCGCACTCTAACATCGCAGGCTCTCCTGGTGCCCTGAACTGTGGAACTGTGACTTTTACCCACTTCAATCCTCCTGTAGTGGCTGTAAGAGAACAGGGCATTAAGTCATGAAACGTACAACATAAACGCTCTGACAGCAATAATTTATACGTAAAAGCACAAGGCACAAATTTTTCCACTCTTTAAATAAGAGGGTGCAAATTGTCAACACAAGTACAGCAGAAGCTGATAACCACATCGTCTAAATATAAATTCGAATCTATGGCGCTGTTCACGGCAAAGCATGCTTATAAAACATAATTTAAATACGGCAAAAGTCTAATTTGGAGAAAAAAGAAGCCGGTTGTAAAGATGGACTACTGCTTTAAGGCAAACTTCCCGAGTAAAAATTACTCTTGTCAATTTCACTTTACCAAATTACAACCAAACTAGCTCCATAAATTTCTCTAAAATATGACCGAAAAATTTCCGTTTGTAGGACCGCCGATTGTCTACGAAAAGAGCACTAAAACAGCACCGCATTTAGTACAAAAAGACCACGGATACAGCACCAGAAAGCTACTACAATACCACCGAAAGAGCGACGTATTTATACTAAAAAAGCGCCGAAACAGCACTAAAGAGATACTAAAATTTGATACGCAAGTATATACTGTAATTAATAAATTCAAATTAATAGTACATTGATTTTAAAGTTAANATTTCCATATCTAGACTTGCATCACAGATTTGTAAGAAGTTGTCTCAAATCATAGCCATGCAATCCGATTATTATGACCACTTCTTTGTGTACCGAATTACATTTGAAAATAGTTAAGACTTTGCAGAATATTATTAATTATTACGTACAAACATACGCGAGAAAATCAGTGCATTGATTTTCAACGGTTCTAGAGTATGCCCACTGGCGGATGAAAGGTAACTTTACTTCTAAAACCGCTAAGGATAATAAATCGTTTCTAAGTGGCGCATATTTTGTCTTCTAAACAATACATTAATATAAATACAGTGACGAGTACATAAGCATTATCGTGTGATATAAATAAGAAGCAATTGATGTGTCTAGGTAGTGTTAACGTAAATTGTAACGTTTTTTTCCTACATAAAATACTGTTTTTGTGTAATGATTTATTTGTAACCTGTTGCTTATTTTTCTCATATTGTTATCGTAGTGGTTATTGAATTTGTTACATATTTCTGTACTGTGTGAACGCCAAATACAGTTTGGAATGGTTCTCTATAGCTGTTCGATTGCTCTCGCGTTAGCACGAATATCTCTCATTTCCGATCAGGTAAATCCAGGAACCAATGGCTGAGTTTTTTTCCTGATGCAGTTTTTTTGGTGTTTTGCCTTGTACCATACAGGAGCCACTCTTAGTTGCCCTGACGCTGAATGGGTTCAATCGGGAAACATTGTTATTTAAAGAATTGGTACAAAAGTTAGATAAAAAATCAGAAACTTTAGAAGAAAAATGAAACGAAAATTAATGATTACTGAAAGAAGAATTAAATAAGAATTTTGAAGACAATTTAGATGAAAATTCTAGAACATTAAAAGAAAATTTTGGAGAAAGGTTAAATGAAACTTCAAAGGCATTACAGAAGCAATTAAATGAGAATCCTAAAGCTTTAAAAGAAGAATTACATTTGACGAAAAATTGGCCGAAACAGAAAATAAATTTGAAAGTCAAATTAAATGAATGGATGCACGGATGAAAGAGCTAGAAGAATAGCTTCTGAAGACAAATATATACATCTGAAAAGATTGATAACAAGCTTCCAGGGAAGCAGGATAATATGATCATTATTCAGGAAATCATTGACGTGAAGCAGGAACATTCCGTTCCATCAAATCTACACGCGGACCCACCGAAGATCGATGGGAAGACATCATGGAGTAGTTTCTTTATGCAATTCGAAGCAGCAGGGACCAAGTTTTGAACACAGAAGGAGAAATCCACTACACTTATATGTGTCTTAAGTGATTGTGCTGAGGAAATTTTAAACACACTACGTCCTGAAGAGTTAGGAAAATAACAACAGCTAGTAAAACGGAACCAAATACGAATCGGCCAAGAGCACTTGTCAAAAATCTATCTGATCTAACCAAGAAACCGGCGTCAAAAGGCAGCGGAAACTTTGCAAGAATGCGAGGCAAATGTCGCAAGACTTGTTCGTCTCGCCTATCCAAATACGCTCAATGGTACCTTCGAAAAGATAGCTTTCAACTCGATGGCTTGAGTGGTGATGACGTACAACAGCGCCGCATGTTGGACAGGTTAAGCACTCATACTGATTCATTAGGCTGAACGCTGAAATATGATGTTGTTAAGTAGGCTTCTAAATGGCAAGGTAAGGTGCGCGGGATACACGAGGAGTCGCATAGAGGTAAGGTAATTAAGAAGACGGACTCATCATCATGTAAGGCGCGCCAACAAAAACGGTACCCGATACGAAATACTCGCTGGCTTATTGTGTAGCCACGGACTTCTGTAAAGACCGTGTTCAAAAACAACTTTAGTCGGTTACCGAAACTGAAAGACTATTTCAGAGATGAAAGAAAGGTAGTAAATGTACCGGTTAGATATCGATTTGTCTACCGCCTTTACACCAAAAATGAGTCGTTTGGGACCACTAATACCATGATGCTAACCGTGTCAAGGATAGGATGTGGTTTAGATGGGCCGAAATGGAGAGTACGAGAAACAATATATCTGCAAAAAAGTACAAAGGAGAAACAACGGAAATGCTGCTAATAGTTAGCTGATTCAATGTTGCGCTACATTTGCCTGTAAACTACGTTTTTCTCAAAAATGGTGAACTTCTGGAGATACAAAAATTTTCCTTATTTTCTTGTTTCATACTGCCCTATTACCTTCTGAAAACCCCTCAACTTATTTTAGTTACACCATATGTAAACAAATTCAGACGATTTTCTAGTAACAGGAACGCGTAACTTAATATAATTGTTGAAAATTTCCTTTTGATTACCCATGAAAAAATATATTGCCTAAAATATAAATTATTGTACCTGCTTACTTACATAGGACTTCCATTCGCGCTTCAGCTTGTGCAGATGAGAAGGATGGTTTCTCAGCAGACACTTCACATCGAAACAAGCCACTCGTTTTGATACTCACTGAGCGTAGAAAAACCCTCGTGCTGTTTGAAGAATCCATCTGTAATAAATTGTAATAAAATTAATAAAATATCAACAACGCTTAGTAATTTTGGTCAACATACTATGTTATGATAGTAGTAGACAAATGAAAATTAAGTGAGCAATTACTACATGATACTGTTAAAAATAAGAAAAATATATTAGTAGGCTTCACNTGTTGCAAAGATAAAAAAGGTTGGTGATCCTTTAATTAACCAATTTACCAAATTGTACAGGTTTATAAATACCTTTACTTTTTCTAAATTATATAAATTTCTACTATACTTGAAAACATGACCTCAAACGAGGAAAGAAACTTTTCAACAAGGGAATTGGCGGAGCTAATTCCTTTGTTTGATGGAAATAACATACCTCTCCATCAGTTTATTGAAAATGTAGATTTTGTTTTTATTAATTGCTGTGCTGGCGGTAGTCAGTATTTCGTTAGACTGACTTTAACAAAATTAAATGGTAGGGTAGGCGAAATTATTCTTTCTAAGTGAGATGAATGGCCAGATATTAAACGCCACCTTGAAAATAATTTTGGTTTAAAAAAGTACTGAAAGTTTAGTACGAGATCTATTTTACTATAGTCTCAAAGTAAACAGCAGCGTTAAAGATGTTTACAATAGCATTGCACTGGTTAGAGACAACTTGGTAGTTTCTGCAACAGAAGACTACGAATTAGAAGAAGAAATTGTCGCTGTTACAGAATTTATTAATGAATTAGCCAAAACTGTGTTTTTAATGAAGATAAATGACGAGTTAGAGATAGCAGTTTTAACATCAAAACCTGTAAGATTAGAAAAAGCTTTTAGTTTAGCGAATAAAATAAATAAACAAATTAAAGAAAGACAGGAAGGCAAAAATTTTTGAAATATAGAAGTCAGAAGGTCAAAATTGACAAAATTTCTCCTGAACAATATATTCAAATTACCATAAATTTAAAACTAAAATGCAATCTTCCGTCGAAAGTACTCCTCAGCCAAGTACATCTAATTTTAAGCCAAACTCTTTTAACCAAAAGCATAGTTTTTCTGGTACACCATTTAAGGGGTTTTCAAAACCTAAAATTCAGTCGCTAGAAGCAGCTGAGAGAGAAATAGATTCTGAATCCGAACACGAAAATGAATATCCCGAACAGACTAAACCTTTAAACTTATCGGAGAACGAACAAGACGGGGATTGTTAAAAATTAAAACTCTTGTAGAAACATTACCTTTTATTAAAACAAAAATAAAGAACCAATCAGTCACTTTACTTATTGATACAGGAGCTGCCGCGAATTTATTGAAACCACAGAAGTTCTTAGGTGAAATTGATAGAAATGACAAAATAAAAGTATCAGGAATTCCAAATTTTTTGAATCCTCACGTAGTCTAAAAACTGATTTTTGAGGGAGTACAATTTCATGTAGCAGATATTGACATTAATTTTGAAAAATTTGAACAAAATTACTATTCCGGATAAGTTTCCCATTCTAAATATGGACCAAATTTTTAACAATTTTGGACACGTGCAATATTTTTCTACGCTAGATCTTGCCAGTGGTTTTCACCAGGTTGAAATACATCCAAAATTAGCAAGAACTGCTTTTTCCATTTACGATGAACATTATGAATTCCTACGAATGTCATTTGACTTGTTTAATGCTCCTTCAACGTTCCAAAGGGCAATGAATTCGGTATTGACAGGTCTCCCTCCCAAACAGTGTTTAGTATATTTGGACGATACCGTTATATATGCAAATTCATTAGAAGATCATAACAACCGCTTAAGAAATGTTTTCAAACGCCTGAAAGAATTTAATCTAAAAATACAGATTATAAAAGGAAGTTCCTCAAAAAAGAAACGGAATTTTTAGGACACATCGTATATAGGGACGGAATAAAATCAAAACCGCAGAAAATACAAGCTATTTC